CGCCTCTTACGCCTCTTGCCACTTGCTGGCCCCAAGCATTTTGCATTCTTACACAACCTGGTGTGGTTTTCAAGCCACCAAGTCTAGGACTCAAACTGTGTAGCCAACCATGTGGGATCCAGTTCTTTAACCACATTTCACCTGCTGGCCCTAGGATTAACTCTTCTTTTTTTTTTTGAGAGGTTTTTGCTATAGGCCGTGTGTGCTGGCCAGACAGACAGAGGGACAGAAAGCGAGAAATCACCCCCCCAGTGGGGATGGCCACGCCGCAATCCCTTCTCCTCCGTTCTCCTCTCGGGATCTTGGGCATGCACGCACATGCACCCGGCATGAGTTTTAAGCCACTGGGTCTGGGACACGAACTGCAGTCGACTACGTGGGAGTCCAGCGACATAGCCATTAGGCTAACTGCTGGTCCCCCTAGGATTAACTCTTAAGATGGAAGTATTATTGTGAGCTAGCCTACTCAGTTGAAGAGCATGCTGAATATATTATCTAATTTTGACTTAAAAAGAAACCTTTGGGGCCAGCAGGTGGTGTGGTGGTTAAGGGTGCTAGACTCTCACATGGCCAAACACAGTTCAGGTCCCAAACCTGGCAACTTGCTTTCTTACTTTCTCTCTCTCTTCTGTCCCTTTCTGGTCAAATTTAAATAAATAAATAAATATAAATAAAAGAATTATTTAAACAAAAAGGAAAAAGAAACCTCCAACTTTCCTTATTTTGTGTTTTCTGAGTAAAGAATAAGAGGAGAGTAGCTTTCTGGTTGTAGAATAGTAGTGCCCAAAAGCAGTGCAAAGTGGAGTCATGTATATATATTTAGAGATCTCTAATTGAAAGTCTGTTCTTTGTAATTAATTTGTGTAGGAAAAATTTTTAAGACTTTCTCCATAAGGTCCATGTGCTTGTCTGAGAGAAACAGAAGGAAAGTGAGAAATCACTCTCTAGGGAAGCCGGTCATGCAGCAGTCCCTTTTTCTTTGTTCTCCTAGGACTTGGGGCATGCATACACACATGCCCAGTGTGATTTTCAAGCTGCCAGGTCTGGGGCTCAGATTTTTAAAAGTCACCTAATTTAAAATTTCTGCTATTGAAAAAGTATATTACAGTGATTACAAAGTCATCTGATTTAAAAATACATACCTGTGCTGCAGCTTCTTGTTTTCTTAGTTCTAAAGATATTTAATTTGTCTGTTTATAAAGGCTGCTAGCTTATATAAGCTAGAAGAAGAAAACCATGAAGCTGCTACATGTTTGGAGGATGTTGTTTATAGAGGAGACATGCTACTGGAAAAGATACAGAGTGCACTTGCTGATATTGCACAGTCACAGCTGAAGACAAGAAGTGGTACCCACAGCCAATCTCTTCCAGACTCATAGCACCACGTGGCTGAAAAAAGAACTGTTTCATTACCGTCAAGAATTCTGTATCAGATTTGGATGCCTTACCAACAGTCACAGAAACACTGAACACCATGACATGCTTTATCCTTTCTACTTTTACTAGTCTTCTCTTCACTCTTGATAAATAAGCTTATAAAATTGTGATTGCACCAGCTCTTTCTTTTCTTTTCTTTTCTTTTTTTTTTTTGCGATAGGACGTGTGTGCTTATCAGAGAGGGAGAGAAAATAAGAAATGATTCCCTGGGGACATGGCCACACCACCGTCCCTTCTGTGCTCTCCTCTCAGGATTTTGGGCGTACATGCACATAGGCCATGTGCATGATTCTTAAGATGCAAGATCTCAGATTAACCACAAAATCAGCCATGTGGGATCGAGCACCTTAACCTCCAAGTCACCTGCTGGCCTCCTTAACCAGTTTTAAACTCCTAATATCAGTTTGTTTTTTTATCTCAGTGAAATTAGGCAGGCATTGCACTAATGATTATAATTTAATCAAAATATTATGAAGTTCTGTTATGACATAATGTCTTTATTTTTGTCATACACAATATTTAGGGTCCTTTTATAAATCAAAACATCCCTTAAACCAGAAGAAAGGTGATAGTGCAGAGGTAAGGGGCTTTTAAGTTTAGATTGTTCTCTTTTTGCCTCTTTAGAGGTGGCATTGTATAAATTTGGGGCTTTGAGCAAGAATATTTCCGAGTGTTTGCTTTAATTAAAAGCAGAGTGAGTGTGCTGAGAGCAGGTGATTTATGTTCAAATCTTTTCTTCCAGAACCTCATACCTATTCTGATTTTCCTCTTTTGTTCTTACTAAGAAATCTTCCCTGTGGAATTCTTGTGTTATTATGAAAGAATGTTCATTCCAAATTACTTTTTCCCCATATGCTTTTTTCATTTTTATCTTTAATTTGCTTGTCATTAACTGTGAATTATGTTTCCTGAATCATTGATGTCTGTCTTTATCTGAAGGTATTATCTTCTCATTAACTTCTCAAACTTTATTGTTGTATTCCAATCTGAGCAGAATATACTCTCAGCTATATCATTTGCCATCAATATTGTTTTCCCATTTAACCTCAGTTTGTTATTGCTGATATTTGTGTCAGCATTAGCAACTGTGATTATGGATCTCCTTGACTCTGTGTTATCTCCACTGAAAAGCTGGAGATGAAATCTGTTCTGCAGTGCATTGTAACTGATTCTTCTTCCTAAGGCTGCATTGTTTATATTTGCTGCAGTTTCTTACTATTCAGAGTTTTAAGTTTCTGGAGAAAGCTAAAGAGCAATAGAGCTTTCTGTCTATTATCTTCATTATAATCAAGCTTTTCCCCAGTCTTTGAAAAAGACTATGCTTCAAAGTTCAGGAGCATCAACATTAATTTTTGCAGTTAATGTTATAGCAATTTATTGACTAGTTAAAAAAATTTTAACTTAATTTTTATGTGTATTATTACTGAAATTTAATAAAAACACTTTACCATCACAGGCGTTTGACATACCCTTTATTATCTTTTAGTTATTGGTGGAGAAAGGATTTGACCAGAAGGGACCAGCAGTTAGCATAATGGCTATGTCATTGGACTCCCATGTAGTCGACCACGGTTCGCATCCCGGACCCGGTGGCTTAAACTCATGCCGGGTGCGTGTGCGTGCGTGCCCAAGATCCCGAGAGGAGAGGAGAAGGGATTGCGGCATGGCCATCTCCCCTGGGGGGTGATTTCTTGCTTTCTGTCTCTCTGTCTCTCTCTGTCTTTTCTTT